GTCATTGGGGTGTGCCCTTAGAAGGTAGCTCTTGTGCAAGGGTTGATCCCATCAGCTGCACATGCTTCCTGTGTTGTAGTTGCTAGCTCCCCACACAATGGCTGCCCCAAAGCCAGACTGGCACTCCCTTAACACCAGAACTATGAACCTCTGAACTGTAAGCCAACATAAGCCATTTCCCTCTCAAGACTCTCCTCTCAGACATTTTAAGTGAAGCAGTGAAAAGTTAATAAGCTCTAACATTTCATTTTTGCACTTTCAATGATGCGATGTAGTGCTCTACTGCCTCAATTGATGGCAAATTCTCTGAGTAACTCTTAGCAGTCTTTGTATCCCACAGCTTAGCTCAATGTCCAGTTTGTATCAGGTGTTCAAAACTGGTTAGAGAAGGAATGAGATCTGCTATTGGTGGACTGCTTCTTCCATCTGCTCTGGCCACTCTGCCTCTGCTGCTGCCAGGTAGACCCTTCCAAAAGCTGTGTCTCACCTGCTTGTGCCTACCCACACCAGTCTCCCCAAAACTCCCCATCCCAGCTCTGTAACTCACATTCACATGAAGCCATTTCCAACAGGTTCTGCCCACACTTACTGCCCTTTGTAAACACTTCTTGGAGAGCTCACTCAGGCCTTTGTGCTTCTCTAGTTTGTTTCAATTGTGCTAGAATCATGTTCTGAACTGGATCTTGTGCAATCTAGTCTCAACCGAATTCCCCTCGAAGACATCATCAGATGGGAAGTATTTGCAAGCTGAAAGGCTGCAAGCCAGCCCACTGATTTCAATGAGGTTAGTTGACCCCCTTGCTTTTCCTGGGTGTGAAAATTCCTCATGGATGAAAATTCAAACAATGATCATCCACTCGATCACATTGAGGTATTGCAAGGATTGAAATAAAATCACTGACATTAAAAAAATATTTTTAACTCATGCATGCTTTATTTCCTGGAACTTGGTGTAGAGCTAGTATAATAAATGCTTACAGATTACCTTGCTAATGATTATGTTATTCATGGGCACCTCATTAATGAGAGCAGAATTGCCCTTACTGTAACTCTAGCAAGGATGATTAGTATGCTTTGTTTTGTTTTTGCAATAACAGGTGGGTGACCTGGTGCCTTTGAACTGCCCCTTCCAGTCAGTGGGCATCCTCAGAGGTGCCAACATTACAAGGAGAGTTGCTGCTGTCACACCCACAAACTTGAATAAGGTGTGAATGTTGGAGATTTACTCTTCTGGGAACTTCTTGGGATGCAATTTTCTACTTTCAAAAACTTTCCCTGGGCCCAGCATGGCAGCTTAGTGTCTAGAATCCTTGCCTTGCAACCACCAGTATCCCATATGGGCACTGGTTCATGTCCTGGCTGCTCCACTTCCCATACAGTGCCCTGCTTGTGCCCTGGGAAAGCAGTTGAGGATGGTACAAAGCCTTGGGACCCTGCCCTTATGTGGGAGACCCTGAAGAAGCTCCTGGCTCCTGGCTTCGGATGAGCTCAGCCCCAGCCATTGCAGCCACTTGGGAGAGTGAACCATCAGATGGAAGATTTTTCTGTCTTTATTTCACTCTGAAAATTTGACTTAAAAAAACAAAAACAAAAAACTCCTCTACCATTGTATTTCCTTTTTTTGAAAAAAATTATTTACTATTTATTTAAAAGGCAGATTTATAGAGAGGTATATACCACACACACACACACACACACACACACACACACACACACATCTTCCATCCACCAATTTACTCTCCAAATGTCTGCAATAACCAGACTGTGCCAGGCTGAAGCTAGGAGCCAGGAACTTCTGCCAGTTTGCTACATGGGTGCAGGGGCCCAAGCACTTGGGGTGTCCTCTGTTGCTTTCCTAGGCCTTTAGCAAAAAGCTGGATCAGAAATGGAGAACTCAGTCTCAAACCGGAGTGCATATGGGAGGCCAGTATCTCAGGTGACGGCTTCATCCACTATGCCACAAGTCCAGCCCTGATTGTATCTCTTAGTGCTGTTTTCTGTTTATTAAGGATTTATAAGTCGACACAAAAGTTATTAAAAGTGTCACCCTTATAACTTTCCTTCTATTACTTATTTGTAACACTAGCTTCCCTTGAAGTCGTATATGGAGAGTTAGGCACATGTTATTACCCCTGTTTCATGGGCAAGAACGCAGACATTTAATGCATTTGATGATCAGACAGTTAGAAATTCATGGAGTCGGGACTGTAGAATTCACATGGGGCAAAGGTTCAGTGATTTTTCTAGAAATAGGAAATGAACAGGCAGTGAGATGAGGACTTGGTTACACACGTGCAATGATGTGGATGCAGCACTAAGCCTCCTAGTCATTTAAGTTTCATGGAGGAAGAGCTGAAAAATCATTGTTTTGATGACATTCCTGGGTTATCTTTCAATGACCCACACATGTTGTTCCTATATTGAGTACAGAGAGTTCTGAATACGATGATGGACATTTAGCCTATCTTTGTGGTCAGATGGGTCTTCGAGTCCTTTTTCTCTGCATAGTAACTGTTATAGAACATCTCCAAATACACTAGATTAACAAAGAACTCTAATATTGTACGATAATAAATGGTGACTTATTCTACCCTTCAAGTTTTTTTAAGCATTCAACTTATGTGTGCAGTTCAAAGGACAAGGAGATAAAAATAAGAAATTTTAGGGAAATCACAAGACAATCTTATCTCAATTTCACTAAATAAAATTATATACTGGGGTATCACTGACTTATTTGACTGAATAGAGCTTAGGATTCTTTATGCACAGAAATAGTTTAGATGAAGGTACATCAAAAAGTTCATGATAGGACAGGCATTTGATGAAGTGATTAAAATACAGCATGGGACACAGGTGTCCCATGTTCTGGTGCCTGGGATCTAATAATGACTTTGTTCCAGATTATTGCTTTCTGTTAATGTGTACCTTGGGGGCCAGAAAGTGACAACTCGAGTGCTTGAGTTCCTATCACCCCTCTGGGAGGCCTGGACTGGGTTCTTGACTCCTGGTTTCGGTTTGGCCTAGCCCCAAAGATCATGAACATTTGGGAGTTGAACCAAAATTGGAAGACCTCGCTCTGGCTGACTCTCTCTGCTGTTCAAACAAATGTTAAAAAGCTGGTGCTGGCATTGCAGGTGCAACAGTTTGTACCTGCAATGCCGGTCACTTACATGAGCATCGTTTTGAGTTCTGACTGCTCCATCTGCACTCCAGCTCCCTGTGAATGAACTTGGGAGGGGAGCAGAGGATGAGTCAGGTGCTTGGGCTCCTGATGCACATATGGGAGATGGGTGGAGTTCCCATGTCTGGCTTCTGGCCTGACCAACCCCTGACTGCTGTCTCTTTCTAAGGAGTGAACCAATGAATGGAAGATCTCACTGTCTGCATCTCTGTTGCCATGCCTTTCAAATAAATAGAAACAGAATCTAAAAAATATTTTAAATTCATCGAAAATGAATTAAACATTACATTTTATTTTGATGCAAAAATTTTGAAGTCTGATCATTTTTTTCATAATATGCATTTTCCCCCCCATGAACCCTTTGAAGGAGCTTTGTCCCTTTAAAATTCCCTAAGCCATACGTACAATCAGGCACTGTATAATAGTGTGTACTCAAAGACAGTCAACATCTGCGCAGCAGTCCTGTAAAATTCTAGCTCCAAATGATGTCAGGCCTAAGGCTTGTAAGTGTGCTCTGATCACACCACAACAGAACTGACCCCCAGTGCACTTCTCAGGACATGCCTCCCTCATAAGGTGATCGGTGCCTGACTGTATGCACATGATTGCTCACGTTTTTAAGGGCAATGTTAAAATGCCACATGAAAACATTTCGGCATATGTTGATGGTGTGGTAGAATGAGATGAGACATATTTTTTAAATTTAGAGATTGCACATAATGATCTAATAACATTCATTGTCTACAAGGGTTGTACAAATAAAAGGGTTCTTTCAAAAATGTCATGGAAAATGTGTATGATTTTGAAAAAAAAGCATGGATTTAGAAAGATTCTTTGCATGTTGAATAAATTTAGTTTTTTTTTTTAAAGTAAAGATTTCCATGTTTTTATTGGAAAGTCAGATGTACAAAGAGGAGGAGAGATAGAGAGAAAGATCTCTGTCTGTTGATTCACTTCCCAAGCAGCCACAATGGCTTGAGCTGAGCCAATCCGAAGCCAGGAGCCCGGAACCCTCTCCAGGTCTCCCACACTTCTGACTACCCTTGACTGCTTTCCCAGGCCGTAAGCAGGGAGTTGAATGGGAAGCTGGGCTGCCAGGATTAGAACCAGCACCCGTATGGGATCCCAGCGCATGCAAGGCGAGGACTTCGTTTTTAAATCTTGCTTTATTCAAGGCCTTTCGAGGTGCCCTTCTAGGTGTTTGAGAAAGTGGGGCATTTTATATCCTTTAGCTAAGGGAATTTTCCATGTTGTGTGAAGAGGTCATTGTCCCACATGGTGAAGCTCTGACTCAATGTCTAAGAGCAGTGACCTAAGCACATGGCTACATTTCAGCCACTTGCTAACATACCTCCTTGAAAAGCATGCAGTTACTGCATTTAAAACCCTTTCAAAATAGATCAAATGCAACACTCAGCTCCAATAGGGACAATGGAGGACTTTGGTTGGAAACCTCTGTTGGACAGCAATCCCTCTGCTGCCCATATTGGTTAACAGGGTTACGATGGATTCCATGGGAATGAGGGAAAAGCTGGGACTATCTCCCCAGGTTAGCATTCCCTTGATCAATGTTCCCAAATGCTTCTCTGTGTTACACTCACAAACACACTCATGGGCACACACAAACACACACACCAAGTGAGTCTTGACAACCACACCTCATTGTGTTTTTCTATCTTCTGCAGCCACTGCTTAAGTCTTGACAGAACAAATCCTGAATCTTCTGTAAGGAAGGGAGGCGGACTTTTAATTCAATGACTACCTTAAAAGCTTTTTCATTATTGCAATAGCAGATTTTTTTTTATAGAGAAGGACACACTTTTGAATGCATGGGACTTTATTGAAACACACATATACAACAATGGTAACAATGGAAAATATCACAGAACTCAGAGCAACAGTGGCATGCATTGGTTGGATGGTGACAGGATGAAGCATGGGTCGAAAACAGGAAAAGACCGGAGAATACATTGTGTTTCCAATCACCACATAGAAGGGTCTTCGAGCCTGCAAAACATGAAAGCACAGCATGTTCAGAGAAGGCACCTGGCTCCCTGGGAGACAAGACAAGAACGAGATGCTCTGTCGGGAGCCGAAAGAGGATGAGAAAGCACAGAGAAGCCTCCTCCCCCTCGGAGTGGCATTCTAAACAGGAGGCTGTGGGCAGCTGTCAAAGTCAGAGCCTGAGACAGTGGCACAGGGAAGAATGAGCCAGCCCAGCAGCTTGCCCTCCTGTTTGGGGTATAGACAAGGCTCCAGGTGTGTCCAAGGCCTAAGGATGCTGTGACATTTCAGACGATCAGAACTACAGGAAGCTGGTGTTAGTTGGTGTTGTTTCCCTGCAAGTCTCTTTATGCACTAAGATGCTTGTTATCAGACTATCAAGAACCATCACAGGCGAAAAAGTCTTGTCTCCTACCTACATGTGTCTGAGTCCGTCTGGGTGTAATTAACTTTATTTCGTCTGGCTTTGGTTCTGTGCTGTGTTATCCACAGCCCTAATGGTAGATCTCATGTGTGTTTCCAACCTAGTGACACAGCCTTTTACTATGGGCAAAAATCATTGGCTAGTCCATGAGATTTATTGCTTAGGATTAAACACAGCTCTTGTAGATTTTCCGCCTGCTTCCCTTGGCATTTTGCTGTTCAACGTCTGGTAACTCCAAGCGCACTGGTGTTGGATTCCATTGCAAATCATTGTTTCCTTTGAGAAAACAAGTGTAAACTGCCCGACACTCGCACCTTTCCTTGTGGCTGGCCATTGTGCAGAACTAAGGGAGGGTGTTGGGAGATCAGAGGCAAGGGAGTGTCCTTGCCAGCCAACCAGCCAGTAGAGAGTCAAGAGAGAATCTCACAAGAGCCATAGGCCCGCCCACACTCACTGAACAGGTGCTCTAGTGACCCCTTCTGGGCAACTTGGTCTTTGACAATGGAGAGCTCAGAGTTTAAGGCAGTCATATTCTCCCAGCAGGGAAAGAACTCTGGTGCATCGTGGCCTGGCTGTGAATAGAGACAGGAGGCAGGGACAAGGACAGAAAACCTCGGGAGGGGGACCACCTACTCCTCCCTCCATCCCCACCATGCATGGAAGCCAAAGATAGGCAGGTGGTTGTTGTCATGGAGACTTGGGGCTTTGTTAGTTTAGAGATTTACCCTGTGAGCACCTGAGAAAGAAGGGTCATCCCCTCCTGGTGTTCCAGCCCTATTTCTGCCCAAATCCTTCCTGCTAAGAGACTCCCCCACTGCTTGGCGCCTTGCATTCTGTGATGATGTCCCTGTCAGCACCTTCTCGTACCTGGCTCTGGGAGCATTTTCTGTGCTTTCTCTCATCAGGAGGTCTGAAATCAGTGTCTCAGGGCTGGATCGCTTCCCATATCTGAAAAAAAGGGAGCAGATAAGATGCCTTTTGAAGCCATTTAGAATACTTTGGGCAAAGAGGCGATGGGATATTAGACCTAAAAAAATTTTCCAGGTATTTCTCAGCCAACTCGGTATATGAAGCATGTGTTAACAGAAGCACTATCATGAAATGACTTCAAACTTTATATATTTACAATTTGTTTAAATACTTAAGAAGCCAATCAAAATTAGTAATCAAATTCTTGGGTTTTTATACTAAAATAAACTAAATAAATAGACAGACTTTGATAACCTGGCGACAAGACACAAAAACTATGGAAGTGTTTCCATAATTGGGTGATTAGGTACAGTACTGATCACACACAGCAACCCAGATCTTGCTAGGAGACCAGATGATCTTTTAGAAGAAGCCCGAGGCAGGGAATCAACACATTCAAGTCCCACCTGTCTCTGCTTTCTTGTTTGTAAAGATGAAATCACAAGCCCTGCTTAGGAGTCCAGTGAAAGTCCAGTGTGAGATGTGGGTCGCGTGCTTGAAAAGTGACACAGTGGCATGCAGGCATCAGTCATTTTGTCATATTGTGGAAGTGCATCAGTCTCATAGCTTTATTTCCCATATTTATGCAAGGACCAGCAGCTTTGCAACCTTCTTGATGCTGTGATTTTAACAATTGAAGTAAAAGGGATTCCCACTGGTCCACAGAGGGGGGTGTGTGTGTGTGTTTTCCTCCCACAGAAGGGTGTGGATAGGGTAATCGGTGCAAGACTATTTTTACCCAGGAGGGTACCTGCTCCAGGACACTATGAAAGGGTCTGACAAGTCTATACTGAATTGCAATTCTTGAGGAGGTTAAAGCAGTTGCCTTGTTTACAACTCAAAACTTCACCTAGCCAATACAAACCACCATGGAATGAAGGTACCGGGGGATATACTAATTGCCCATCTGGCACAATTCAATCAATCAGGCTTGGAGGGGAGACTTCCTATTCTCACTGCTTGGATGGCACCCCAGGGCTGCACTCCACCCCGACCCCCTCTCCAATTCTTCATAGGATTTCTTTACAGATTGTCTGGAGTTGTGATATCAAACCTCAGGCTGCTGCTCACACTTAAACATTCTGTTCATGTATTGGTTTTTACTCATCTTAAAACTCTTGGGTAATCTGAATTCATTTCTCTATCACGCTCCAGTGAGTTAAAGAACTGGCAACCATTTTCTCCAATTTACCAGAAAAGGATCTAAGTCGTGGGATTTACAATCATCAACCAACCTCACAAATGCACTGTTCAGTCCCCTTCCCTCTCTAATTAACTCTGGATTACCCTCTTTTCTCTAAGATGCTTTAACTTTAAAAGATTCTCTAGGGTAAAGATTTCCAAACAAGCTGCACAGTGGAATCCCTTGATGGGTATTTTACACATACAATGAAGTCCAGGCCCCATCCCCAGGCAGGCTAATTTAATTGGTCAGGGTAGAGTCTCTATATTTAAAAAGCTCCCCAATTGACTCTAATGTCACAACATTAATCTACAGCTGGGCTTCTTTACCTTGGTCTGACTGACATTTGAAGTGATCATTGCTTGCAGTAGGAGCTATCTTGAGGCCTGCGGGATGTGTAGCAGAGGACCCGTACTCTACAGATGCCAACAGCACCCACACCTCCTTGAGATAACCAGAAATGTCCCAATGCAGGCAAAATCACTCCCAAGTGCAAACTGCTCCAAGGCATTTACAGCAGTGAAATGTGATACACACAGAGGCAGCTACCCAGGTCTCAAGAACAACAAACCAGGAGTGCCCACGGCAGCAGGAGTAGAGTTTAACCAGCATGAGCTGAGTAGGAAAAGTCACAGAAGCAAGGTAGTGACTTTAGGAGCCCATTTATACTGAGTTAAAACTTACCAATGACTCTAGCTTTCACAAGCATCTACAAATGGTCTTCAGAAAGTTCACGAAAAATGCTTACTGTTAAAACTATGCATGGATTGCAATTGTTTTTGCACCAAACATAAGGTTATCTTCCAATTCCAGTTTCCCATGAACTTTGGAAATGCCTTTGTCTGTGTGCATTAGAGTGTATAAAGCCAATGAGTGCAGAAGGGAGCAGATGAGGGCGGGCTATGAGTCTCTTGTGGTCTATAAGATGGAATCATGAGAGGATAAGAGAAGAAACCCGACTTTGGGACCCACTCACTCCTGTCCATCATATTGTCTCTCTGAGGAACTCAAGTCCCTCCCTTCTCCTTACCTTTTGCTCACTAAACCTTTTGGAGCTCACACTGACTGTGGGCAGTGATGGGAACAGCATGCAGGGGAATTCACTAGCAGGGTTCCCATTCTGCTTTTAAAGGAGTTTTTAAAAAGCATCCTCACTTTTAGGATCCTAATGAAGATACTCACTTCAATGCCTTGAGGTGACAATGGCTGTGACAATGCTTGGGGAAATGTTTATAAAATAGCCAGGCTGCACAGCAATCATCTTTGCAAAAAAAAAAAAAAAAAAAATTGTACCGTACTCACTTGCTAAATAACAGAGGTTTTCCAAGAAAAAGGAGCAGCCAATACAGTTTGGTTTTGCACAAGTTCTTTGTTTTCTACAACAGTGTAAGCATGAATTTGAGGCAATTCATTTCTGGGAAGCAAATTAGGACACCAGGCATTGCCTTTGCTAATTAAAATGCTCAGATTTCAATGGGTTTCATTTGGACATTTGCATGTATGCTGATTCTATATAAATTGGGACCTTTCCAAATGCTTTTCAGAATGCTATACACTCCTTTGGTGAAACATATAAAAGGAAACTTTATCTTAGAAGCATAACTCTTTCCTCTTCGGAGCCTTGTCAGCTATTTCCCTGATTTGTACATAACAAAAATACACTATAATGTGTGATTTTAAAAGTGTTGAATAATGCTAATGCATATCAAGGACTCATTCAGTTCATTTGATCTTAGTAATTAAGATAATCAATAATTTAGAACCAAGATGAACCGATGTTGTAAATGGATTTTAAATCTTGTATTAACACTGAAAAATGTGATTCCTTGTTGACTCTCTGGGGGGTGTGGTATAAAGCAGACAATTTCTCAGATTCCATGTAACTCCTGTGTGCAGGCTAGAGCTACTAAGCCAACATAAAACTCTCTTTTCTAGAACTCATCTGTCATGCAGCGGGAGCAATCTGCATGAATTTCTTATTGTGGGACTTGAGATGTTCAAATATGGGAAACAGACTGCAATTATTCCAGACACCATGGTACTGAAGAGTAGAATACACACAACCCTAACCATCCTCCCAGCTACCTCCTCCACTCGCTCTGGGTGGCTTGGGAGGTTTGTGGCTCTCTCGCATTCATTTGGTGGTTCCACTCTTCCTAATCACCCCTCACCCCTACAGCACTTCCCGGGCATACTCCCGGTCCTGGCACTTGGCCACAAAAGTTTCAAAAGCGCCATCCCCACCTTCCCCCGCTCTTCAACTGTCCTACCGACAAAATAGAGGAGGATCCTCCGAAAGGCTACTGAAGAACAGACCCACTCAGAGCTGATTGCTGCCTGGTACTGTCCTGCCCTGTGATACAGTAAAGAAAAGGCACGTCGGGCCCTGTCCCAGGAGGTCTGGGGCACACCCACCTCTGCCTGGTGATGAGGTTGATGTAGTGTCGCAGTGCCGAGTAGTATCTGGCCATGTCCTCTGCCGGCGCATCCTCCCCCGGGTTGTCCGGTTTGGAGGGGTATGCCTCAGCCAGAGCGCCCAGGCACACGAGTAGGGACAGGACGAGGGTCAGTCCCGACAGCCCCAGTCGCTTGCTCCCGAGCATCTGTGGGCAAAGCAGCACAATGGAGAGGCTTGGGGAAGGGATGTGGAGGCGGGGAGGGGGTGTCCGAGGACACATGCCCGCCGCACCTGTCTCCTTAGCTTCCTGCGCTACTGCCTGAGGTCCCAGGCCCTTCAAGGGGACCTGAACTTGAGGAGCGCCGCTTGCTGCACTCTGGAGGCGCCTGCCCTGGTCGGGCCCTGGCGCTCTGGCGGAAAATTGCGCAACTTCGTTCCAAGGGGCAGTGACCACCAGACGTGGGGCGAGATGCGCAGGGTGGAGCCCCTGTCCGTTTGAGACACTTTATAAACTGAATTGGAAGTTTTCCCCCTCTTTACCAAACCCTGGTTCGGAGCAGAAAACTGTTACTGCCTGCAGTGTGGACAGCGACGTTGAGGTCTCCTTGGGTAACAGTAAACGGACTCCAACACGGTGACTAGCTGGCTCCAGGAAGGGGGAAGGACTGCGAGGCCTGGGGCCAGTCTCAGGTCGGACCACCCAGGGAGTTCGGATCCCTGGCGGGAGAAAGGCGCTGGGAGACCTCACTCCAGAGCGGCGGCGCCGGAAAACCTCCCTCGCCTTTCTGAGTTTCCTGGAGATCCAGGGAGAACCCGACGGCAGCTCCGGAGTGGAGATCCTGGTCCTCCCTCCTATCCACAAGATTACCCGAAGGAACTAGCCGGCAAGGCGCGCCCGGGGGAAAGACGCAAGGACATTGGAGGGGGGGTGAGGGAAGGGGACCAAATGGACAGGTGGAATTGAGTGGACAAGAGGAGCCAGGGCGCGGGGCCGGAGCCTCTAAGTGCCCCAAAAGCGGAGAAGGCGCCCAGGGCAAGTTTACTCCACTCTGATCTCCCTGCCCAGTCAAAAGAGGTGATAACACTCACAGTGGCTGGCGGGCGGGCTGGGCGGAGAAGGTTCTGCTGTTGGGCGCTTCTCTCCGACGGATGAGAGCTGGCAGATGAGGTGCAGAAAGTGGTTAGCCAGCTGCCTTTTATGCAGCTGCCTCGCCGCAGCAGGAGGGGCCGCGGGCAATCACGCTGGTGACCCCCCCCCCCCGCCACTTCCCGCCCCCGAGTGCCGGAGGGGCGGGGGACGGGGCTTGAGCCGGAGACGCACCCGCAGGAGTGATTTCTACGGGAACCACCCACGCGGCTACTCTTCCAACCCGGACTTTGCCCCGAGACCCGGGCCGGGTACCCAGGGAGCCAGGAAGCGCGCTCGGAAGATGCTGGACAGCGCCAAAGCCAAGTGCGGGCGCTCCCGCTGCGGCGGCTGCTCTGCCCGGACGCGCTCTCCTTCCCGCCCCGTCCCGCCTTGCGGGGATCGCCTTTGCGGCTCCCTACCAGCACTGCGGGTCCCCTTGAACGGCCGGGGAGAGGGTACCCAGCTCCTCTACTCCGTGCTGCATCTTCCACAGCACACTCGCTGGCCACAGCCACGCGAGTTAACAAGGGAAGCACTAGGGCGCACAGGTTTTGCTTGGCGTTTGGCGCCGGTCTGCCTCCAGTACCCAAGAGTTCCCAAACCACCTCACACTCCACCCCGAGGAGCTTAGGGTGGGCTCCTGTAACCTGAACTCCTTCCCCTGGCCTTTTTCTTTTCTTTCCTTTTCTTTTTTTTTTTTTTTTCTTTTTCTTTTTTTTTTTTTTCCTGGAAAAATAACCCTCTCTGGGTGCGGGCGCTAAGACAGCAGCCTGACTGGGCAGAGACCCCAAGAACATGGGAGCCACCGTCATTCCAAGGAGAAGCCTGAGTTTATTGGGCAAGAGTCGCGCGCCTCCAGCGTCCTGAGACGCGGCCGTCCTGAGGGTCCAGAGTTGGACAGCGAGTCATTTCTCCCTTCTCTCCGCTAGCCGGAGTAAAGTTGCAAGTGCTTGACTGATTGGAAAACGAGGTTTCAGATCAGAACGTAGCAGGTAACAATCTATTCACCTGAACTCAGAGCTCGCTGAAACCTGTTGCGCGACTATCAACATCACAGAAACTGTTCTTAGAGAGAACAAGGTCAAGGGGGTCTGGCAGGGAGGGGGCTGAGACCTTGAAGTTCCCTGGGAGGCTCAATCTTTCTAGATAAAATGACCCGCTGGGAAGAAAAGCGCCAAGCTGCTAAACTTGTGAAGTACTCTGTCAAGCTGACACTTTTTGTGCTGTTCAGACAGCGTTGAATTAAGCACCGGTTCCTGCGAGGCGAGCAATTCCGTGTGTGTGTGTGTGTGTGTGTGTGTGTGTGTGTGTGTGTGTGTGTGTGTGTTCCCTTTCAGTTAGTCGGTTAGTTCACTGTGCCTGTTTGAGTAACACATACGCTGAGACACCAGATATCAGGGCTGTCTCAGGGGCTGCCTGGCGCTTAAGTTAGAGCCGTTTAAAAGGGCTCTAAGTTAGAGTCCTTTAAAAGGGGCGTCCACTTGTCACAACATGGTACTGTTTGCGGAGACTGTCCCGGGCTCCTCTCAGTGAAAGGTTAGCAATAGCACAGAAGGCTCAGAGGAAATATCCCTGGGGAGTTACTTCCCTCTGGGGTCTGAGAACCACCCTGGAGATGCGGGGAATCCGTTTTAAGAGAAGGTCGTGGGTGGCTGAAAAGCATGAGGACTTACGGGGGGGGGGGCGGTTCTGACTTTCGACACATCATAAGCAGGGAGCTGGGTGCCACAGGCGAATGGGCAATCATGCTCCTTTTCCTTGCAGTCTAAGCGCCTCCCCTTACCCTCAGCTCTGAATAGCTCCCTTTTAGGACTTGGGGCTTTGGGTTGCCACCTCTTTTCCTTGCCATGGTCTCTGCCCTCCCTCAGCATGTGGAGTTGCTGGAGTTTGTCCCCTGAGAGAAACAAAGCCATGCCAAAATCACAAAATAAAACACTTGAAAACAAAAAAATACAGAACTGCCCATCAACTCAGCTTCTCTATTCTAGCTCCACAGCCATTTCTCTTCTGTTTTATAGTATGTGTGTGTGTGCTTGTTTATTGCTTTAGCTGCTTTATTGCGATACCATTGACATTCTAAAATGAATGTTCAAAGTGCTCAATTGAATGTATGCTTACACACATACACTCATAAAGAGTTTATCCTCATAATACTCAAATCATGAATATGCATGTCACCCCCAAACTTCCTATTGCTCCTTCGCACTTCTCCCCTCCTGCCTCTTCCTGATGGCAGCCTCGTCCATCAATCTCCACTGTAGATCTGCCTGTATTTTCTAGAATGGTCTGTAAGTCGACAGTACATATCCTTAATCAACCTCATTCTTTTTAGTCCCTCTGCACATGGTTACATATGTCCCTTTTTGTTACCAGGAAGAATTGCTTGATGCCATGTCCTATTTTCAAAAATCTATTCAATTGCTCATGAACCTTGGGTTGTTCCCAGCTAGGACTGTCATGACAAAGCTGTAATGGTGCTTGTTTACAAGACTTTGTCTGACATACACTGAGGAATGTATGCACTTATGGGCAAGATGACTGAGTCATACAGTAATGCATGCATCCCACAGTTTGCGTTGGATTGTTCTTGTTTTATTCCCTCTTTCCCCCCTCTGTGTCTTGCTTCAAATGGTTTCAAGGCTAACTCACTGAGTTCATTAACCTGTGTTTTGCATTATCTGATCACTATCAAGTCTGTACATCGCATTCTTTACACTGGACCATGTTAATTTCAACACTTTAGAATTTTTAAGATTTACTTGGAAAGGCAAATTTACACAGAGAAGGAGAGACAGAAAGATCTTTCATCTGCTTGTTCACTCCCCAAACAGCCACAACGGCTGGGGCTGAGCCAATATGAAGCCAGGAGTATCTTTCCAGGTCTCCCAAGTGGGTGCAGGGTCCCAAGACTTTGGACCATCCTCTACTGATTTCCCAGGCCACAAATAGGAAGCTGGATGAGAAGTGGACATGAACCAGTGCCCATATGGGATCCTGGCACTTGCAAGGGGAGGATTAGCCAATTGAGCCATTGTGCCAGGCCGCATGGTGATTTTTGAGTATGCATTAATAATAGTAGTGTCTGTGCTATTTCTATCTATAATAGTTCCATTAGGATTGATTTATCTCTCTCCGCATTGCTTGTGTTTTCCTAATTCTTTGTATGCCTCATGGTTTTTAATAGAATATCAGAAAGTTCAATTCTACTTACATGTTCATTTAATTATTTTTATTTGACAGAAACTTTTTGAGTATTGTTCTGGGACTTTATTAAGCAATCGGAATGTGGGTGTCATATTTACGTTTATGAGGTTGCAGCACAGTTGTCTTACCACTCTTGAGTTAAGACCCTATTTGCATATTAATTTGTTTATTTGAGAGACAGAGACAGATCTTCCCAAATGCCTACAACAGCCAGGTCTGAACCGGGTCTCCCATATGGGTGGCAACAACCCAAGTCCTCAAGCCAACACCTGCTGCCTCACAGGGTCTGCATTACTATGAAGCTAGGATAGAGAGACTCAAGCCCGGAACCAACCAGCATCCTAAGCCACATACCTGTCCTACCTTCTTCTGACTTTAGCTGGTAACTATTGCCCCCTGATTTGGAAAATTTTGTCCTCTGGCTGCTAAACCAGGAACTGTCCCAGGTCTTTTGTGAGTGCTATGGAACTCTGTTTACCCTCAACACTCGTGCTTCTTTTACTGGTCTTGAGTGTTTTCTTCAGGTGCATCAACTGAGTAGTACAATTATGTGCAGTCCAGAGATTTTCAAACTTTTTACACTTAAAGGCCCTATGTATTGCAAGCCCTACCTCCCCAGCTACCCACGTGTCTCCTTCCCTGCCAGCATTCCTGTCCACTAGACTTCCTTCCTAAATACATCAGCCGCTTTTCCCACTTGAGTCATCACTGATTTAGGTAATATTTCTGAAATATTGTGCCAACTGTTTTTCAGGAAGAATATACATATATATGTATATGTATATATATTGAATGCAGTGTCATGGTTTCCCCATATAAAATGATCAAATATGTATAATTACCATTTCCTTCTCCTTAAACATTTATCATTTCTTTCTTGAAACTCAATTTGGACAATGCATACACATATGTTTCTAGTTTCACTTTGAAATGCCACTTCTTTATGGGGAATCCCTCAGAATAAGTCCTTTCAGGATTCTGAATTTCTTCCTAATTGCACATGGCTACAATTTCATTGTATACATATTATTTAGATTTTGCATTGCTGCTTGTTTGAATATACACATTTTTAATATGTGTTAATTTCATAAGACATGAGACATTGTGTCTTTCATTATATGTTTGCATCCCTGGTGTGACACCTAGCACTCAATGAATTCCTGATAAAGATATGTTGATCAAAATGAATATCTTTATGGAGCTAAGGTTCAAGCAGAATTTTAGATGGATCTGTTATCATTTAGGACATGGACTGATAGATCAAACCCTGCAGACCGCCCCTTTGTTGCCAACTTTCATAAATAAAGTTTTATTGTAACACAACCATGATCATTCAGGCACCCGATGCCTGTGGTTGTTTGCCTGTGATGATGGTAAATTTGGAGAAGTTACAATGGAAGCAGCATGGTTCACACAATTAGAAATATTTACTCTCTGGATCTTAACAGAAAAAATTCAGGCCTCTGAGCTAAAACTTTAATATTTCCAATAAATCACTTTAATATTTCCCATAAATCACAAAAACAATATTTAACATAAACGACAAGTTAAGTTAAAAAGAAAGTTTGAAGGTCCATAATATGCAATCTTTTTCCTTCCAGGAGCACTGCTCATATTATTTTCTCTGTTCCTTATGTTCTGCCTTTCATGATACTTCTATTTATTGATTTATTTTTTAAACTGGAAAGGCAGATCAGATTCACAAAGAGAAGGAGAGACAGAGAGAAACACCTTCCATCCACGGATTTACTCCCCACATGGCCTCAACAGGCAGAGCTGAGCTGATTCATCCCTTCCCTTCTTCCTTTTCCCTTCCCACCCTCTTCTCTTTCC